GAATGCAAGTTCGAGACAAGCTCCAGAATGCTCAGATTCAAGACAAACTTCGGGCCGAGTACAAATCTCGTTTAAAGAAAATCTGGAGCTCAGAGCTAAATGCTCGAAACAAGGTCAAAGCCACCAATACTTGTGCTGTGCCAGTCCTTTCCTATTCCTTTGGAGTAGTTGGTTGGACAAAACAAGACATCCAGAGTCTTGACCGTCTGACCAGAAGGATTATGTCTGACAACAGAGCCTACCACCCTCGTTCCTCTCTTAACCGTTTATACATGCCAATCAATTCTGGAGGTCGGGGTTTGACTAATGTGGAGGCTCTTCATGATAGAATTTTATTGTGCACTTTTGCACATATTTATATATCGGATGATCCTCTGGTGATGCATGTGAAGACTCATGATGAAAGCAAGGAATTCCACAGCTATTTTAAGCGTGCCAAGGTTGTTGGACAGAATCTGAGATTTCAGGTAGATTTTGTTGATGGCGATGTACTGCTGGACGGTACAGCGATGGGAGTAAACCAGGTGAAGTCCTTCACCAAGTCTGCCCAGAGTCGGTCTTTTGTGGAGAAGCTTTCTGAGAAGCCATTGCATCGTGTGTACATGCAGTGTGTCGGAATAACAATCCCACCGACTCCTTCGCCTGGATGAAGTCGGCTGGTCCTAAATGTGAAACTGAGGGCTTCCTTTTTGCTGCTCAGGACCAGTCACTTCCCACTCGCAATCGTCTAAATGTGATTCTTAAAGAAAATATCAATATGAAATGCCGTCTTTGCAATGAATTCACGGAGACTGTCCAACACCTTGTCCGTGGATGCCCTTCCTTGGCACAAACACCATATCTTAAACGTCATGATGGCATGGCTCGTTGCTTTTACTACCGTCTCCGACATGCCTGTGGCTTTGACTCCGAGGTCCATCCATGGTACGACCCTCAACATGTCCAGGGCGTCATGGAAAATGATGCTTTCAAACTTCTGTGGAATAGGCCCATATACAGCCTCAGAAGAAATCCTGCCAACAAACCTGATCTTGTCCTTTTTGATAAAGCCAATGAATTTATTTATATCATTGAACTTTCTGTGCCTTTTGACACCAATGTGATTGGCAAGATTCAGGAAAAGCATGATAAATATGCGGACCTCGCCTTTGAAATGTCTCGCTTGCATCCCAAGTACACTGTCGTCAGGCTCCCCATTGTTCTCGGTGCCCTTGGTTTGGTACCTCCTAATCTCTTGGCGCAGATCAGGAGAGTGCCCAGGTTCTCCACCGGGAGTACAGCCCTTCTGACACTCTGGGTAATGCAGAAGGCTCCAGTGATGGGGAGCCTTCATATTCTCCGGAAAGTTCTTGGTGGGTTCGACTAGGCAGCGTTTCCTGGGAGAAGTCCCATTCGCTGTCTGGGCTGCGTGTAGAGGGGGCAAGGGACCTGAGCTGATGATGAGCCTTACCAGCCTGACTGTGCCAGGATCACCCGAACCCTCTCTGCTGCATACTATCTTTAATCTGTAAAACTTAATAATAGTGAATATTTATAACGTGCACATATCCACGCTCAGAAGCATGCTTTTGGCCCTACATAAGTACCTTCAATTAAATACATAATATATACAAAGCAAGAAAACTAAAAAGAATAGGTGTATAATGCATAAACAATTAACGTTATTGAGGAGATATATTTAGCAAAGAGGTAGGTTTTGAGATTTGATTTAAAAGAGTCTAGAGATTCAAAGTGTTTGAGGTCAAAAGGGATACAGTTCCACAAGACAAGGGAAGTGCAGGATAAAGTTCTGTATCCAAAAGTTTTAAGTTTCTAGTTCAGAAGGTTTTGCTTCTGTGAGCGAAGTTCGCACCATGGACTGTATGGGTTGATCAGATCTGCAATGTAGAGTGGAGCCTGGCCGAGAAGGGACTTGTATGTAAGGCAGAGTGTCTTGAATTGAACCCTGGCTCTCACAGGTAACCAGTGGAGCTGCTGTAGAACTGGGGTAATGTGACTGTGTTTGGAAGTACGGCTAACGATGCGGGCGGCTGTTTTTTGGATCTTTTGTAGTCTGTCAAGTAGAGTGTCAGGGAGGCCAATATAGAGACTGTTACAATAATCTAGTCTGCTGAGAATTAGAGCACGGACGAGTGAATGAGCAGACTCTGTGGTAATTAGAAGACGTATACTGCCAATCACTCTAAGATGAGAGTAGCATGTTCTGCACAGGTTATTTATCTGGGCTTCCATGGACAGACTGGGATTTAAGAGTATTCCCAGATTCTTGACTGAGTATAATAGTGTAATATCGAGCTTGAAACCGCAATAGATGCAACATCTGACTTCCTGAGCTGCTGTTTTGTTCCAACAAAGAGAGCCTCTGTTTTTCCTCATTAAGGTGTAGTTTATTTGCAGTCATCCATGTCTTCAGAATACCTGTACAGCCAGTGATTCTCCAGAACCCTCCGGGTGAAAAGAGGTGTAAAGTTGAGTATCATCTGCATAAGAATGATGCTGTAGACAGTGTTTGGAAATGATGTTAGATATATTGCCAGTGTTTTGAAATGAGAGCATTTTAAGAATGTTATGAAAGACTTTCGTTTTATCAGTATTTCTGTTAGCGGTAGGTTATCTAGTGTAGGGTGGGAGTTATCTCCCTTTTTATGAACGAGCTTTTCGTGTTGTGTTTGCGCTGAAGAGACCGCATGGTGTGCCGAGATGCACTGCAGGTTGGAAGCTGTATTCTTGCATAGAGGCGGAAAATTCACTCTTCAGGTACATATATTCATTTCTTTATAGTGTAAGTCATAATTACAGGTAATTTTAAGTACTTTTTGAAGACTGTTTTCATTCATGCTTCACGGAAGATTGCATTACACCTAAAGAGTAGATTATTTGTTTACTTCATTACCCATGCCTTAATATATTGTTTCATTGAGTATTTAGTGTATTATAATGTCATGTAGGAATAACGAAGTGTTTTCAGTTAATTTCTCCATATTTTCATCTCTGTATTTTATGGAAGAGTTCATTTTTTCCATAGGGGTTACATTTTGGCATGTGCTTTTGAGCAATAATTTGAGATAACTATAAGAAATATTTTCAAGATATTGATACATATTTTCACGTGAAGTGATAATGATATTAGCAATGTATTTTCAGTACTGTATTTGCATTTGAGAGTTATTTCCAGTTTGGGAGAGTCCATTGTAGACTAAGACTATTTGTGGATCAGGACCAGGGTTGTAAGTGTAATATTTATTGTACTATTGTTGTGTTATCAATGCAGTGTGTATTTATTTCTACATTTGTTTAATTTGCAGAATCTGTCAACTTTATCTAATAAAGGACTTATTGGAAGAATTCCGCCTTATTTAATCATTGTTCATTCAAAACAGCCAGTGTAGAGGACAGACAACACAGGACCCAGTACAGAACCTTGTGGCACACCATGCCCCAATATTAAGTTACTTTATCCGGCATAGTTGATCAGTACGATCTGTGTTCTGTCTTGAAGGTACGAGGAGATCAAACGTAAGGCTGAGTCCTTGATACCATAGTGATATTGAAGTCTCATCAGGAGGAGACCATGGTCTATGGTGTCGAAAGCGGAGGAGAGGTCAAGTAACAGCAAAGCTGCTACATTAACTTCGTCTACCGCACATCGAAGATCGTCAACAACTCTCAGAAGTGCAGCTTCTGTGCTGTGGAACTGGCGATACGCGGACTGAAATGCATTGAGAAGGTGGTTATGTGAAAGATGAACCTTTAGCCTGATATTAACCGCTTTCTCAATCACTTAGTTAAGCACCATGCAAATGTCATGATGTGTTCATCTTTGCTTTATGAGAATATGAGAATGTTATCAAGATATGCCATAGCGAAAGCTTCGCAGACCGTCCCAGGTCGAAGTAGGGCCTTACCCCATTGTCCATTAGCCAATCACGACCCAGCATTAGGTTTCTATTGATTTTGTTTTTGTTTCACTATGTTAAATGGTACCTCCATACGCCCGTGTTCAGCCAGTGGACTACCATTTACTGACTGTAAGGAATGTTGGGGTTCCTCCTAATGTTTCCTCTACCCTCGGGTGAATGAATGAAACGTCTGCTCCGGAATCCACAAGAGCCCTATACCTTAGTTTATCTAATGATACTTGGATTCCTAGCCAAATTGATAATAAATGTTGTTCCCTCCTTAGTCTCCGCCTGTACCCCCCAGGAGGAGTATCTAGTTTAAATGGGGTGTGTAATGTCTCCGAAGTAGATTCTAGCTTGCATCCTATCAGGGCATTGCGATTTAAAGTGTCCTTGGCCCAGATTTTCGAAGCTCTCTTAGTGCTAAGATAGTCGTAAGTTAATGTTAATGTATAGCACTTACGACTATTTTAGCGCTAAGAGAGCTTCGAAAATGTAAGCCCTGGTCTGTTACACTGCCGGCAAAGCTTTGTATCTTGCGTCTATATTGGACCTATGCCCTGCTGTTCAGCATTAATACATTTTTCTTGGGGTCCGATAGTGATCTACTTCCATCGGTTCAGGTGCAGCCCTGTCCATCTTTTCAACCCTTTCATGAGTTCCTAACCTTAAATCGAACCTTCTCGAAGGCCATGGTAACGGCTTCAGCAAAGTAATTGAGTTGTCACGCATTATTGTCATATTTAGATAATTGTGCCTGAGGTCTTCGAAGAACACTTACAAGTTGAAGCTCTCGCTGGCTCTCGTTGGCACTCGCTCTGGTCCCTTCTGCTGTGTGCTGCCGGTGAATTTGCTTGGTATGCATCGGTCGTCTGTCTGCCCTGCAGTCTGCCTTTCTCATAGTCAGTGAATCGTCACTTTTTAGACCACCTCTCTTCGGAGAGGGTGCGATGTCAATATCGTTTGTCACGTTTACCACACTAACTGTCGACCTTAATACTCACCATATGACATACACTACATCACACAAACTGTACATAAAACAGCCTATATCACCCAATGGTTATGCTGAAATATACCTTGTGCTCATTGTATTTTCAGGTATTGCAGTCATGTCTAAGCCCCGATACAAGACTGGAGATAAAAGGAAGGCAGACTCTGACGACGACTCAGAGTCTGGTAAGTAGACACCTGGAACTGAGCCAAAGTCCAAGTATGAATGTGAACAATGATGTCGAACGTCTGATCTCTTGTTCGTTGCAGGTGTTTGTAACGAGTGCCGTCGGTGTGATAGAATGTGATTACATTGTCACGAACAATTGATACCATCCCATTTGATCGTGATTCATGAACAACTGCATATGATATACTCAGAATCAGGGGATCTTATAACCGTGAACAGGTTGATTAGTACATTTCTTAGATAACGTCAACAAAAGATAAGTTGTCCTTTTTGTCATTGAAACAAAATCAGGTCAGGACACAGTGACTGCCCACTACCACATGACATAATGATCCTCCACTATCACATAACAGAATGATCGTCCACTACCACTTAACAGAATGATCGCCCACTACCACATGACATTATGATCGTCCACAGCCATATGGCAGCATGATCGTCCACTACCACATGACAGAATGATCGTCCACTACAACATGACAGAATGATCGTCCACCACCACATGACAGAATGATCGCTCACTACCACATAACAGAATGATCGTCCACTACCACTTAACAGAATAATCGTCCACTACCACTAAACAAAATGATCGCTCACTACCATATGACAGAATGATCGTCCACAGCCATATGGCAGAATGATCGTCCACTACCACATGACAGAATGATCGTCCACTACCATTTGACAGAATGATCACCCACTAACACATAACCGAATGTCGCCCACTACCACATGACAGAATGGTCGCCCACTACTACATGACAGAATGATCGTCCACTACCACATGACAGTTTGATCGTCAACTACTTCATGACAGAATGATCGCTCACTATCATTTGACAGAATGATCGTCCACTACCACATGACAGAATGATAGCTCACTATCATTTGACAGAATGATCGTCAACTACGATATGACAGAATGATCGTCAACTACAACATGACAGAATGATCGCTCACTATCATTTGACAGAATGATCGTCCACTACCACATGACAGAATGATCGCTCACTATCATTTGACAGAATAATCGTCCACTACCACTAAACAGAATGGTGGCTCACTACCACATGACAGAATGATAGTCCAAAGCCATAGGGCAGAATGATCGTCCACTACCACATGACAGAATGATCGTCCACTACCATATGACAGAATGATCCCCCACTACCACATGACCGAATGTCGCCCACTACCACATGACAGAATGGTCGCCAACTACCACATGACAGAATGATGGTGAACTATAACATGACAGAATGATCGTCCACTACCACATGACAGATTGATCGTCAACTACCACTTGACAGAATGATCGCTCACTATCATTTGACAGAATGATCGTCCACTACCATATGACAGAATGATCGCCCACTACCACATGGCAGAATGATCGCTCACTACCACATGGCAGAATGATTGCTCACTACCACATGGCAGAATGATCACTCACTACCACATGGCAGGATGATAGTCCACTACCACTTAACAGGATGATCATCCACGACCACTTAACAGAATGATCGCTCACTACCACAGGGCAGAATGATCGTCCACAGCCATATGGCAGAATGATCGTCCACTACCACATAACAGAATGATCGCCCACTACAACATCACAGAATGATCGCCCACTACCACATGACCGAATGTCGCCACTACCACATGAGAGAGTGATCGACCACTACCTCATGGATCAATGATCGTCCACTACCACATGACAGAATGATCGCAAACTACCACATGACAGAATCACCGTTAACTACCACATGACAGAATGATCGTCCAGTAACACATGACAGAATGATCGTCCACTTCCACTTAACAGAATGATCGTCCACTACCACTTAACTGAATGATCGTCCCCTACCACATAACAGAATGATCGCCCTCTACCACATGACAGAATGATCGCTCACTACGACATGGATCAATGATCCTCCACTACCACTTAACAGTATGATCGTCCACTACCACTTAACTGAATGATCGTCCACTACCACATAACAGAATGATCGTCCAGTACCACTTAACTGAGTGATCGTCCACTATCACATGACAGAATGATCGCTCACTACCACATGACAGAATGATCGCTCACTACCACAGAACGGAATGATCGTCCACTTGACAGAATGATCGTTCAAAGCCATAGGGCAGAATGATCGTCCACTACCACATGACAGAATGATCGTCCACTGCCATATGACAGAATGATCACCCACTACCACATGACCGAATGCCGCCCACTACCACATGACAGAATGGTCGCCAACTACCACATGACAGAATGATCGTGAACTATAACAAGATAGAATGGTCGTCCACTACCACATGACAGAATGATCGCCCACTACCACATGGCAGAATGATCGCTCACTACCACATGGCAGAATGATTGCTCACTACCACATGGCAGAATGATCACTCACTACCACATGGCAGGATGATAGTCCACTACCACTTAACAGGATGATCATCCACGACCACTTAACAGAATGATCGCTCACTACCACAGGGCAGAATGATCGTCCACAGCCATATGGCAGAATGATCGTCCACTACCACATAACAGAATGATCGCCCACTACAACATCACAGAATGATCGCCCACTACCACATGACCGAATGTCGCCACTACCACATGAGAGAGTGATCGACCACTACCTCATGGATCAATGATCGTCCACTACCACTTAACAGCATGATCGTCCACTTCCACATAACAGAATGATCGTCCACTACCACATGACAGAATGATCGCCAACTACCACATGACAGAATCACCGTTAACTACCACATGACAGAATGATCGTCCAGTAACACATGACAGAATGATCGTCCACTTCCACTTAACAGAATGATCGTCCACTACCACTTAACTGAATGATCGTGCCCTACCACATAACAGAATGATCGCCCTCTACCACATGACAGAATGATCGCTCACTACGACATGGATCAATGATCCTCCACTACCACTTAACAGTATGATCGTCCACTACCACTTAACTGAATGATCGTCCACTACCACATAACAGAATGATCGTCCAGTACCACTTAACTGAGTGATCGTCCACTATCACATGACAGAATGATCGCTCACTACCACATGACAGAATGATCGCTCACTACCACAGAACGGAATGATCGTCCACTTGACAGAATGATCGTCCAAAGCCATAGGGCAGAATGATCGTCCACTACCACATGACAGAATGATCGTCCACTGCCATATGACAGAATGATCACCCACTACCACATGACCGAATGCCGCCCACTACCACATGACAGAATGGTCGCCAACTACCACATGACAGAATGATCGTGAACTATAACAAGATAGAATGGTCGTCCACTACCACATGACAGATTGATCGTCAACCAGCACATGACAGAATGATCCCTCACTACCATATGACAGAATGATCGTCCACTACCACATGGCAGAATGATCGTCCACTTCCACTTAACAGAATGATCGTCGACTACCACTTAACTGAATGATTGTCCACTACCACATAACAGAATGACACCAGTACCACTTAACTGAGTGATCGTCCACTATCACATGACAGAATGATCGCTCACTACCACATGACAGAATGATCGCTCACTACCACAGAACAGAATGATCGTCCACTACCACATGACAGAATGATCGTCAACTACCACATGACAGAATGATCGCCCACTACCACATGACCGAATGTCGCCACTACCACATGACAGAGTGTTCGACCACTACCTCATGGATCAATGATCGTCCACTACCACTTAACAGCATGATCGTCCACTTCCACATAACAGAATGATCGTCCACTACCACATGACAGAATGATCGCCAACTACCACATGGCAGAATCACCGCTAACTACCACATGACAGAATGATCGTCCAGTGACACATGACAGAATGATCGTGAACTATAACAAGAAAGAATGATCGTCCACTAACACATGACAGATTGATCGTCAACCAGCACATGACAGAATGATCGCTCACTACCATATGACAGAATGATCGTCCACTACCACATGGCAGAATGATCGTCCACTTCCACTTAACTGAATGATCGTCCCCTACCACATAACAGAATGATCGCCCTCTACCACATGACAGAATGATCGCTCACTACGACATGGATCAATGATCCTCCACTACCACTTAACAGTATGATCGTCCACTACCCCTTAACTGAATGATCGTCAACTACCACATAACAGAATGATCGTCCAGTACCACTTAACTGAGTGATCGTCCACTATCACATGACAGAATGATCGCTCACTACCACATGACAGAATGATTACTCACTACCACAGAACGGAATGATCGTCCACTTGACAGAATGATCGTCCAAAGCCATAGGGCAGAATGATCGTCCACTACCACATGACAGAATGATCGTCCACTACCATATGACAGAATGATCACCCACTACCACATGACCGAATGGTCGCCAACTACCACATGACAGATTGATCGTTAACTACCACATGACAGAATGATCCCTCACTATCATTTGACAGAATGATCGTCCACTACCATATGACAGAATGATCGCCCACAACCACATGGCAGAATGATTGCTCACTATCACATGACAGAATGATTGCTCACTATCACATGACAGAATGATTGCTCACTACCACATGGCAGAATGATCGCTCACTACCACATAACAGAATGATAGTCCACTACCACTTAACAGAATGATCGTCCACTACCACTTAACAGAATGATTGCTCATTACCACATGGCAGAATGATCGTCCACAGCCATATAGCAGAATGATCGTCCACTACCAGATGACAGAATGATCGCCCACTACGACATCACAGAATGATCGCCCACTACCACATGACCGAATGTCGCCACTACCACATGAGAGAGTGATCGACCACTACCTCATGGATCAATGATCGTCCACTACCACTTAACAGCATGATCGTCCACTTCCACATAACATAATGATCGTCCACTACCACAT